GTTCAGTGAAGTCTCTGTTCGAAGGGGGGGAGTAGAGAGAGATAATCCTAAAGGACCGGAAGTTAGCGAAACTTCGATGTCGACTGTTTCTAACGAGTTTGTGGCCAAAGAGATAGGCATGTGCTTTAAAGAATTCCTAACAAGAATAGCGACACCGCCGGATATGCGGTTTTCACGGTCCCTTCTGTAGGATGAGAAGTTTGGGACGAAAAGTTTGATTTTTTTGGACAGGCGAGTTTCGGTGATGCGGGCAACACCGATTGACTTATCCTCGAGGAAGTGCTCGAGTTCAGTCAATTTACCTCTAATGCTTTGCGCATTCCAGGTAACTATGCGAAGATTGTCTGGGTGGACTGTATTACTCATTGGTGGGTGTTTGAAGGACGGTGACCAGACTTGCTACCATCGTTTGAACGATGGCCTGGATCGTCTGTTCAAGAGAAGAAGCTGGAGGGGTGTTTGGGAACGCATTGCTTTTTTTAAGGGGAAGGGGGGAGCTGCTGTCACTGCCCTGACAAAAGATTTTTGGAGGAGCATCCACCTGGGGATGGCTGTTGGACGGGACGTTGATTGCACTGAGTTTTGTGTGCGGGGGGCACTACAGATTTTTGGGGGGAACGGTCCTCTTTAGAACCTTAGGACAGCCGCGGTATGTGGGGCGGTGACTTCCTTTGCAATTAGCGCAGGAAGGTGTGGCATCTTTCTTGTCCTTTGCCTTACATTCGGCAGTGATATTGTTGCGGCCACAGAAGGAACACACCCAGACGGCGTGACAATGTTTGGAAGAACCTCAAACAACGGCGGCATTGGTGTATGTCTTTTGTGGCCCTTTTTTGCTCAACTTAACGCTGAGCCCGCAGACCTTGCCAAGTTGGAAGATAGACTTGGACTTCGGGGATGATCTGTCCAGACGAACGAACACTAATGGTCAGATTTTTCCACCGTTGGACATTCGGTGGACGCCGCGATGTCAAAGTCTTTGTGAACAAGTTCAGCTTTGACATCGTCTGTGGAGATGTCTTCGCAAACTCCACGGAGGACAACATGGAGATTGCGGTCTTGTTTCAGTTATTTTGTACTAAACTCAACTTTGGGTTCATCGAGGAACGACGAGAGTCGACGAAAATAGTCAACGGAGATGAGTAGACTCTTACAGAGTCTTTAGTGTTTATGGCCCGACGTGTGGCGATGCCGTGGTTGTCCATGGCGAGAAGAATTTTCGGCCAAAGGGACTTTTGGAGGATTTCAATGGGTGGAGGGTCTTTGAAATTTTGGCTAGTTGCGCCGGTCTCTGCCTCAGAAGCAGAGGACGTTGAGGATGCCGAAGACAGAAAGATAGCACGTCTTCAGCGCTTGTTACACCGCTTCCCGACTTCTGTGAAGCTGTCAGCGGCAGTGAGGGGGGAGTCTGAATCTGATAATTCAGCCCGGGTAGCAGAAGAAGGCACGACGTCCTCGCACATTAGGGACGATGGGGAAGGAACTTTCGGAATGTTGTAGCAAGAATTCGTTGATTATGGCGAGCTTAGACTGCAGCTCTCTCGCCAAGGACATAATTTCCGCAATGGAGAGTCCCCCCCAAGAGTGCAGGGCTCTTTGGGGTAGCCATTTTAAAATGTCGCTATATAGGCAGTGATAACTGCCGGTTGTTGTGTTCGTCGGCTGCGGTAGCTGGTAAGAAGACGGTAGAGAATGTTGCTGGTTGCAAGTACGTATAGAAGCTCGAATGGTTCGAGCTCGAGTGTGTGTGTGTTGTGTCTACCAGAGTTGCCCTCATTTATAATGACCAATGAAGCTTGTTATCCGTAATATTTAGGAAGGGACTCCTACACTCCATCCCCTTTACTGTAGTCTTTTGTTTCTAAGACATACAGCTCACATCATTCAAATACAGCTCATCTAAATTAAAGATAGTTTTATATCTTTTAAAGATAGTTAGTTTAGAGACGGCTTGATATACGTACATTAGCCTAAGTTGTAAATTTCGTGTACAGTAGTAAGTAAAATATAAAATCCTTAAGAAAAATTAAATGTCTATGCGTTCTTAATCTCAATCTCAATACCAAATAGCACCGCTAATTAATTTTTGTTGTGCCGCTTTATTCTGCACTAATAATAATTAGCAACAGAATATTGCCTGTTATGAGCCCTTACAAGGCTAACCCCACCCGAACATAAATAAAAATGAAGAAATGTAAATAGCTTTAAACAATCGTACATATTAAGGGATTAATTTGATATTTATTACGGTTTGGAAGTAACTAACTAATTAATATAAACGAACAATTAAAAAAAAGTCAAAATTACATTTGTTGAATTGAAGAATAAAAAAATGATTGTTTATCATATATAGTCGACGACTTCTTTATTAATAATTGTTTTTTTGCAGACGAAATGGACATGATAAAAAGTGTAACCATGAGAAACGTGCCAACGTAATAACGGAAAATGTATATATGTATTAACCGTATGGATTTAAAGTAGTAGGATGTTTTTATTGTTATAATTAAATTTTTATGTATTTATGATTAAAAATACAGTAAAAATTTTTCTTTTGTACATTTTCTTATAGCTAACATCCCAACACTTCCTACAGATAACATTGTC